CCTGAAAATGGCAGCTGAGCCATCCACAGAAGTTCCAAAAACTGCTAGACAATCCGTTCTTAAAGAGGAGGTATAAAATGTTTGGGTTTGACACATTTGTTTGATGTTAAATAACGACTATTTAGACTGAACAGAATGTTTGTGAGTGCGGAGTAAGAAATGCTGTAGATGTGTATGCTTGTAAAATGTATTCAGTCGACAAAACACTTCTTCCTGATGGTCAGAGAGTTTAAAAAAGGCGGCGTTTCTCTTTGTTGAGATAATCGGACAAATTATCACCAGGGAGAGAGAAATCTACGGTGTTGCATTATTTCAAGCTTATTTTTTGTTCAGATTTTGCAGCTGTTTCTTGTATTGTCTATTCAGGCTCTTTTCAATGGTCAGAAAGAATGCTGATACCTCTGAGAGACTGTGAAAATTCATGGATCACGAAACTCAGCCTTGTTTTCCATTCCTTCAGGATGAACCTCTAAGAGTTGCCTTAGCATTTAAGTTTGTATCTTCTTTGCTGCTTTCTGAAAGGGTTTGAATGTAGATAATTTTCTATTCTAAAGACATTAGTAAGGAGGTAGTAAGATTTTTTCAAAATTACTGTGCTCACATCACAGAAGCAGAAAAGACGGGGTCCTGAGGAAGGACTTTGGAAGTATTTCTGGGTGCTTATGAGGAGCACTTTCACCCTAATTTGAACTGCCTGTGTTTGTTTCTGTTCTCTTTTAAGTGATTTCTTAAACATTAATCTTTGGTGTTAAAGGCAGGTTTGGCAATAGTGTCGTGCTGTTCTTATAACACAAAGGTACTTTCTTTTATCCAGCCTTCCTTCCTTGGAATGAACACAGTGTTGTAATTTCTTCAGGTTTCAAGGTACAAAACTTTTTTCAGGAAAGAAGAAACTCGCATTGTTGGGTTATATTTATGGCTTTTTCCCCTGTGCAGTGTTTTAATATGAATATTTCTCGAGCATGAAGGGTTTAGTTTTTGTAAGGGTTGGGTTTTCTGTTAAGACCTGTGTTTTTGCAGGCAACATTTTCATTTTATCCTCTTTTTTTCCTTAAATATATTTATGTAAGGCCTCTTACTTCTCTTTTTTGGTGTCACTGAAAGTTTGCAATTAGATCTTACGTGTTGTAAGCAATTTAGCTTTTTCAGTGACTTTGTGAGATTAATACAGGAGAGTATTTACCACGCTTTTGCCAGTGGCCCATAGGTTGAAAGTGGGTCTGCAACTCTTCAGTAACTACGTGGTCTGATGTTGGAATATCTTCTTCCATGAAAGCAGCAGCTCATCTTACTTCCTTCTTCCTCTTTTTGGGAACCCACAGTCAGGCTGTTGTAAGCAAAAGCAGATGTGATTTGCCCATCAAAGTAATAGATAAAGCAATAAAAATAACTCATTCTGAAACAGAGTATGGTGAATGCAACACACACTGCAAAGTGTCCTCAGGCCCTAAATAGGGAATTTAGCAAAGCAGAAGTTACGCATCTGGGCCAGCTTCCACAGGTTTTAATTGTGCACCTGACAAGCATATGACAATAAAATTTCTCTTTTTCTTCTAGGAAAATGTAGGAAAGTTTCAAAATAGTTTGGTTTTCAGTCTTACGTGCTTAGCTCTTAGCCCACGCTCTCTGACAAGTGGGTCCTCGTAATCACCAGCATAGCTGAAGTCTGCACAGGCCAGTGACCCTTTTTTCTTTCTCAGCTGAAATGTGACCTTTGCAAAATCCTTCTAAAAAGAGAAGGACTTTCCAGTACATGACGTCGCACTGAATTAATTGCAACTTGGTTACAAAAGTCATGTTAAGAAACGTTACTGGGCTTATTTTCTAATCCTATTCAAGAGCTTGGAGTAAGTGTTTTTTTTCCATAATAGCTACAGGAATGTTGTTGCATGTTCCTGCACTTACTCTGCTGCTGAGATTTTGTCTTCAAAATAATCCAAAAATAGTCGTGTTGTTTCTCCCCTTAGCCCCCAAATATCTTTGGGGTTAATTTTATAATGTATTTAACAAAGAATTTTTTCTTTTAGGTAATCGTAGAAAGAAGATGGTTGAAGCTTGAAGAAACAACTTACACTGATCCCTTTGGTAAAACCAGGTATTTGCTTCTCCAGCATTTCAGATTCCTGTAGCGTTCCCAAATGTATGGACTAGCGCCAGGCTAGAGAATATGAGCATTACAAACCTGTTAGTCAGAACAAGCTGAGATCCATTCCTTGTGTAATTGCTTTATAGTTTGTGCTGTTCAGAGAGAAAAAAAAAAGTCTTACTCTTGCAGATGTGTGGCATGTGGGGTCGAATTTGGCTCCTAAATTCTTTTGGGCACACTGGCCCCTGGTTTACCTTGTATTTGCTGTCCCTTGTAAAGACACTATGCAGAAGCAAGTTCTAGCTTTGCAGTTGGACTTTGATGATCAGAGAGGCCATCCTGTGGCTTTTCTGGTCCTTCATTAAGGGCTCCTTTTTCCCTGCTGATAGTGCTGGATCTTGCGCATGATTCATGTGTTTCTGTCCTCTTGTATATTATCACGCCTGTCCAATTCCTTTGCATGCTTTGATTTTGCTGTATTTATCTAAATGTGACCACACGGCTTTTCTTCTCTCCCCTTAACGTATTAGATTCTGCACTGGTTGCTTTCTCTAGTGCTTCCCAGTTCATCTGCAAAGCATCCTTTTAAAAAATAGCAAAGATTGGAGCTTTTGTGAAAGGATTTTTGTTGCTGGTGGATTTTTTGTATTTTTTCTCATCCCATTGCTTATTATTTGGAGAGAGGCTTTGGTTTTCCTTGCCTCTATGCTCCTCATGTGCTCAAGTAACTGAGCTGAGAGTTCGCAATAGCTTACACTATAAAACTTAGGCAAAACCGAGATAGAATGCATGTGGTCTTGTTACAAAACTGTCTTTCAGAGTCTGACATGTTTTATATAGAAATTGCTTCATTTTGCACTTTTCCAGGATCACTTTTATAAGACTTACCTGTTCTGTGACAGTCATTTATGTCTTAGTGATCTTAAACAATCATTCATTAACTATTTTCTCTCTCCCTCCTTTAAGTAGGCAAACCAAAATGATACTACAGAGATTTTATAGTGCCAGTACATGACAGAGCTTGCCTAAGACCTGCTGATTTCTCATGGGGCCTCACTGTGTAATGACGTATTTTGCTTTGAAAGTAGCAAGGGTAGAAGACTTAAAAATAAAGTTGATATTGTTCCTTTTAATGTATTCATTTGTTCTTTTCTCTGTGTTAAACAGAACCTGGGAAACTGTAAAGCGTACTGGCAACAAAAAGGGTGTTTCAGCTGATGGTGAGACTTTGGTGACTTTTTTTGTTTGCATTTTTTCCTGTGAAAGCTCTTCTGAGAAACTCACAGTGCCGAGTTAGAGCCAATCTACTTCTGAATGAATGAGGATGGGAACAAATAGCTCAGCAGAGCTTGCTGTACCCCTGAGCTAATGAAGTGCTGCCTTAAGTGCTGAAGAATCAGAACCTTACTGGTAGGAGTGTTTTTTCAAGATTATTGTATTCATCTTAGGAGAATGCAGCCATTTCAAAGATGGGATGGATGCCCTGATACAGAGTAGCTCACAGGCTGGTGAACTGGGTCTGCTGTGAGGGGCCAGGGATCCAGTTCATTTTGGGCAAAAGAGGAACATGATTTAGCCATGGAAGGAGTGTAGAAAGAGGTTCCATGCAGTGGCTTCCAAATGGTCTCTGCAGGCAAGAGGGCCCTTCTCTAGATACTGGTGGGCTAAGCCATGGTTTTGCTTGGTATGTGTGCCTCTTGTTTTCTGGGATACTTGGAAGATCTCATTTTGGGCTTTTATCTTTCATCACACTTAATACAAGAAGCTTGAATTCATAGTTGAGGATTTTGGAGCAGGCATCTAAACGTTTAATGCTCAGAGTAGCAGCACTTGGGTTCCTTTCCAGACCTAGCACTAACTACCCACTTTGTGCTATACTCACATACTACGTACTTGTGTCTTCCACCGCTGTTTGTAGGTGTAGCAGTGATAGCAGTACTACAGAGAACTCTCCACTACGACTGCGTTGTCCTGGTGAAACAGTTCAGGCCCCCAATTAACGGCTATTGCTTGGAATTTCCTGCAGGTAAGTGACCAAAACATTAAGATGAGTCCCATGAAGCTGACAGTGAAGTGTGTTTAGATGTGCTTGGCTTGTCGATCTTAATGAAGTAGCTCTAACCAGAAAATCGTGGTGAGCTCTGTAGCTCAGTGTGCTATTCAGAAATAGGAATATTTGGTAATGAAGGATACAAAGTAAACATAGTTCATTTTAGCAGATTGGAGGCATTGTGCGCACTACTCTGGCAGTAGAGTATTGCATTTCCCTCCACTCCTCCTTTCTTGTAAGAGTCAAAGCATTTTGGCTTCTTCCCCTCACCAGAATTTTAATGCCATTGCCTGGGCAGGTAGCATGCTGCTGTAGAAAATCAGTTGAAGACGTGGGCAGCAGCATGATGAATCCTGGAACTGGAATCCTTCCCAATGTCTTGTTTTGTACCTCTGTAGCGTTAGGGTAGTGACAATGTTTCACCTCATTTGTAAAGCTGGATTAGATCTTGGAAAGGGCATTGTGATTAAGTGCTACCTTTTCAATTTTTCTTGTGTATCATTTATCTCACAGGCCTCATTGAGGAAAATGAGACTGCAGAAAGCGCTGCGTTGCGAGAGCTGGAGGAAGAAACCGGCTACAAGGGGGAAGTCGTGGAATGCACTCCAGGTCTTTATTTTTCCAAAGCTAATAATTCTGTCTGTGATGGGTGCTCTAAATGTCTAAAATGCTCTAAAACAAAGGGAAAATCTATGTGGAAAAGTTTGCACAGATTAGCAAGAGTAATATCCCATGGCTGTACCTGTGAGACTTTGGTCCTTGATGAGTCAGTTGCTGAGCTTCTGTTGAACATACAGGCGTCAAGTTACAGGTTGATGTCTATAGGGGAAAACTTTGCTGTTAATTAAGACCCTTTACACAAACCCCTGTTATCCAAGCTGTGGTTTGGAATTTTAGCATTAAAGGTCTAAATTGCTTGACTTAATGTGAACAACATCTGTGAATTTAGGTAAAACGGTATCTGTGTGAAGCAGTCTGAGTGGAGGTCACCCTCATGTCAGTTGTGGGGAGGTGACAGTACTCAGGTTCTCCAACCAGAAAGAAGAAAGGAGAGAATAATTGGAGTAAATCCCGAGATGCTTTGGAACGTGATCAGTGCCAATCCAATGCTTCCTACATAAAACAAAATGGAGGCAAAACAAGGGTCAAAAATAAAACTTGAGAAGGTGTGTAGAAAGTTGAGGCACTTGCATATGATTTCTGTTGAGTGTCATTATAGTTGAGACCTGGCTCTTTATTATTGGGTACAACTGTGTGCTGGGGACAGGTGATGGCAAAAATGGGACACTGATAGGCTGAGGAAGTCTATAAGGCTAAGTCAGTCTATGGGATGGAAAGGAAACCAAGGTGCTGGAAACAAGTCTGTATGGGCCTGGCCTGGCACAGCGTGA